CACGGCGCCAACTTTTCATGTCGCACGGAGCTGGATCTGCGCTCCGAAGGCCTAGAGCTCTTCCTGAACACTTCGGCCTCCAGGCAGCTCCGGACGTTTGGTGAGGAACTGGGGGAGCAGACTTGGTGGGAGGGGGTTCCCGGGAAATAGGGGTCGTTGGTAGGGCAGTGATCCTTACTGAAATCTTGTGGAAAGAGACTCTGGGCCGTGGTGTTGCACATCCACCATCCCAGCACTACAGAGGTTGAGGCAGGAGGATCGTAGTAAGCTCAAAGCCAGTCTGGGCTAAGTAGCCTGACTCTCAAAAACAAACCAAAAAAACCACAAAACCAAATGAACCAAACACAGTGAATAAATCAGAGGACCCCGTTCTAGGGATGAAGTTGTCCTGTTAGCTACCTGCTTATCTCTACTGCTCTCTCCAGCTCTGCCCATGACTGCCCCGCACCTGCTGGCCCCCAGGTCCTTGGAGGTGGGCGAGAGGAGGCCAGTGACTTGCAGTCTGGATGGACTCTTCCCGTCCTCCGAAGCCCAAGTGTACCTGGTGCTGGGGAACCAATCGCTGACTCCTGAGGTCATGAGGGATGGCGACATGCTCAAGGCCACTGCCACAGTGTACATGGATCAGGAGGGTACCCAGAAGATTGTGTGCAACGTGACCCTTGGAGGAATGAGTCGCTCTGCCCAGACCTTGACGACGGTTTTCAGTAAGAGGGGGTGTGGCAAAGGGCGTGGCTCCACAGGCTAAGGGCGGGGCCTGTGGGGCAGACGCTACACAGCAAGAAAGAGGGGCCTGAGATGCCCAAATAGGATTGAGGTGAAACCTTAATCAGGTATTTCCTGAGAGCCCGAAATTGGGGAGAGGGCGCCAAAAAAGCAGGGTCTGCACACCCTGGAAGAAAGGAGTGGAAGGGGCGAGCAGCTTGACCCAGAGGACAGTCATGGTCACTAAGTCCCTCGGCAATGCTCTGCCAAATCTTTAGGCTTCCTAGGACCCCTTCTGAGCCTGAGCAATACCCGTGTCACCAAGGGGTCCACAGTCAATGTGACGTGCACAGCCGGACCCCGAGCCCAGGTCATCCTGGATGGGGTTCTGGCTCCATCTTTGGGGAAGCCCGTCCAGCTTCAGCTAGCTGCCGCTGACAGTGATGACGGACGCCGCTTCATCTGCAATGCTACCCTCGAGGTGGCTGGAGAGCTCATACATAGAAGCACGGCTGTCCAGCTGCGCGTCCTGGGTGAGTTGGTCACTTGGGCCTTTTATTTTATTTTATTTTTTTAAAATTTTATTTATTTATGTGTGTGTGTGTGTGTGTGGCCGGCTCAGCCCACCAGGGGGCGGGGCTGGCTGGCATGTGGTGCTGGGGATCGAACGTGGTCCTTGTGCTATGCTGAGCTTGTTCTAAGTAGGTGCTTTAGACCACTGAGCCATCTCACCAGCCCCCACTTGGGCCTTTTAAATCGCCATTCCCTTATCTTCACTTTTCCCTGCATCTCAGGGGTTTGGGGTGCCTGATCACCTGGTGGTTATACATAGGGTCTCAGGCAGGTGTGGTGTCCCACACCTGTTAGCCTGTTATCCCAGCACTAGGGAGGTTGAAGCAAGATCACCAGGAGTAAGAGGCCAGGCGAGACTTTTTTTTTTTTTTTTTTTCCAGTACCGGGCATGTGGTACCCGTCCGTCCGTATCCTAGTCCTTGTCCAGTTACATCATAAAGTCAGTTATTGCTGCCAGGAGGCCAGCCCGCGGGGCAAGAAGCCAAAGAATGACAGGGGAGAAAGCCCACGAGGATCTGGGCATGAATATTTACTTCTAACTTTCTCTGCGCAGATTCGAAGCTCTCCTCGGTCATCATCGTCCTGACGGTGTTAACAGTCCTGGCCTTGGTCACTATCTCAGGAGCTTTAGTATTTGTCTTCGGGATGCAGCAACGTTGCGGCACCTACCACGTGAAGCAGCCAAGCATCTCGATGACCCTTTGGGCAATGGAGCGTGAAGACATAAGGGGGGAAGAGGCGCCCTGATTTGGGGACTATCAGGATTCTGGGACAAAGAGGGCCGGGGCTCTAGCTGTACCCTAGAATTTCCCACTAATAAAGCCTTTAAACTTCGTAGTCTGCGGTCGGATTCCATCCGCGCCACTGAGCTCGCTCCAACGCTCCACGCTTCTAGTGAATGGCACGGAGTCTGCGGAAAGGGGGCGGTGTCTATGGCGACCCTGACGCGGCCCCTACTCTTGAGAGGCTGGCTAGGCTTTGGCCAATGAGCTGAAGGGGTCTGGAGGGAGGCGGGATTTCCTCGACCAATCGGCAGGCGCGTGCCCTTTGCCGCTCTATGCCGCCCCGCCCCGGCTCGCTGGTCCCAGAAGGCGCCGGGTTTCCCAAGATGGCGGCCGACGTGTCCGTTACTCACCGGCCCCCGCTAAGCCCGGAGCCTGGGGCCGAGGCTGAAGCCACCGAGACTGCAGAGCGCCGGGCGCCTGAAGAAGAGCTGCCGCCGCTAGATCCAGAAGAGATCCGGAAACGCCTGGAGCACACCGAACGACAGTTTCGTAACCGCCGCAAGATACTGATCCGGGGCCTCCCGGGGGACGTGACCAACCAGGTATGGGGGGGGGCGGTGTGGGAGCGTGGCGGGAAATACCACCGTGCGCGTGCGCGGGGGAAACCGGGCGACACCAGTGGTGACACGGGGGGGGTGTCGGCGGGGGTGTCCAAGCACGCGATACTCCTGGGGTTGGGAGAGACCAAGAACGAAGGAGATGTGGGGGGCTGTGGTGAAAGGAGAAACCAATTTCGGATTAAGGGACACCGTTGCTAAGGGCGACCACTGGCTTGGGCGAAACTGAGTGAACCCGGCAGAGAATGGGAGGGGGCGGACAGCTTTGGACTCGCTGGAGGGGATCGTGAACTGGCTGCCAAGTTGGGAAGGGTGCAAATAGGGATTCCAAGTGATCCTGTGTCAGATTGTGCTTTTCTCCAGTCGCCTATTACGGGGTGACGGGACCTCATATCCAGAAGTTTCCGGGTTGAAGTATGCCCTTCCGTCTCACACTTGATTTACGCTTCTAGGTGAGAGCCGGAAGTTGTGGAAGCCTTCTCCGAAGGTGGATTGATTTGGGAAATTGAGGGTTCCTCATAGCCTTTTTCTGATCTACAGAAAAGTGGAGGGGGTGACCTGTGGAGCCTCTCTTAGCTAATCTTGCTGCCAGGAGCGCCCTTTTGGGACCGACATAGGGCAGGGCTTACCAATGCTCTTTGGACTCAGCGAAATACCATATATCTTGCCCTGCCCTGCCCTGCCCTGCCCTGCCGCGGTGAACTGGAGAGGTCCCTGCTCTTGGGAATCCCCACTCTAGCCCACGAGCATTCCTACCATTGGCCTTCTTTACCCACCGTTGGGCACAGGCTAGTGGGGCCCCAGGATTCTTAGTAGGCCATGGTTTGGGGACAGACCTGGGTAAGAGATTACCATGCATTCAAAGCTGGCCGATGAGATGAGAAGCTGGCTCGCGACAGGAGGGGATGGCGAGATGAAAGAGCTTCCTAGTGTGGGCTTTTAAGCACTTGCGCTCCCTGGTCAGGCAGCCCTGGGTAACATTCCTGCTACTGCCCTGACTGACTCTGCAGCATGTTTCTTAACTTCTCTGAGCCTCGGTTTACTACCTCCAAAATTGATTTGTCGATATATAACTGTAGAGTCGTTAGAAACGTTAAATTCTGCAAGTAGAGGCTCGGCAGTAAAGCTCAGCAGCTTCTCTGAAGGCCAAGTGTTCCTAGTGAGCAGTCCCACCTCTGAAGGGATTGTTAGCTGAGTGGCCTTGTGGAATAGTGTGTCATACTCATTTGCAAGATGGGGTGGTTCCCCACCTGCCTTCACAGCTGAGCCCCGAAGGCTGCCCTGTGTTGTTCTCTTCCATCTCTAGTGACTCCTTGTCGTCTTCTCCCTTCTTTGTCTGCAGGAGGTACATGACCTACTCAGTGACTATGAGCTCAAGTACTGTTTTGTGGACAAATACAAAGGCACAGGTTTGTGTGGCCATGGGGGTGGGCCCGGGCAGGTTGGGAGTCCTGGCTCTGTAGTTCCTGGACTTCATTCCCAGCACTGTTCCTGACCCAGTGGGCTGGCATCCTGCATGCATACATTGGGGCACCCTCTCTTTTCCTCTGGACCTTGGGCTCACCTTCTCTGTACCCTGACCAGTCCCAGGCCTTTTTGTTCTCCTTCAAGCCACTTGGCCTGGTCCCTGACCCCTGACCCCTGGTCCCTGGTCCCTGGTCCCTCTGTCTCTGCCTCCCACACTTCATTCTATCACCTGTCTTCCCCAGGAGCCCCATCAGGTCAGACCTGACCCTGATCATTTTCCTCTCTCAGAACTGTCTGAGAGGTAGGCAGGAGCCTTCACTGAGAATCTCACATGGGTGTGAATGTGTCCCCGAGAGACCTACATGGTGGGCCAAGGGTGACAGGCGTCAGACTGGAACCTTGATTTATCCTCTCTTTAGCTCTCAGCAAGTGACGGGCGATGAATTCATGCTCTGGGTGTTTGGCACATCCTAGAACTTGCCATCCTCTTGTCTCAGCCTCCTGAGCAGCTGGGATTGCAGGTGTGCACCATTGTGCCTGCCTTATTTGATTTGATTTGTTTTATTTTTGAGATGGAGTCCCACTTTTAATCCCAGGCTGGCCTTGAACTTGCTCTGTAGCCCATGCTGGCCACAGCTCCATCCTTTCACCTCAACCTCCTGAGTGCTGGGGGAGTACAGCTGGTCTTAATCAGTTTGACTTGACTTTTAAGACATGGGGTCTTATGTTGCCCAGGCTGGCCCTGGACTTCTGGACAGGTGCTTCTCCTTCCTCAGACTTTAGGGAGCTGGGACTGTGAGCCAGTGCCATTGCCAGGCTCCTGGTGTCCACTGGTCCTACTCCTGGTAGGCATTGCTGTGAACCCACTGCTGCTGGGAGGCTTTGTTATTCTTGTTGGGACAGGTGGGAAGGTTGAGACCTGAAAGAGTCTGAGGGGCTCCAGTGAACCCTGCCCTGGTGGGACCAGTTATGTACCTGGTTCTTAGGATACAGCCATGTGCACGGTTGACCTGACTGCTCTGAGCTGTAAAGGAGTGCAGAGGTGACTGCAGCAGGCACCAGCTTATGCTCAAAGGCCCAGAGCATCTGGGAGCTGGGATGTCCTTGTGGCCCCTGTTCTGAGGTCACACATGCTTCAGAGAGTGTGGGTTTGGGAGCAGGCCTTCAAGGGCCCCAGTGACCCCATGTCCCCTCATGTGTGCAGCTTTCGTGACCCTGCTGAATGGGGAGCAGGCCGAGGCGGCCATCAGCGCCTTCCATCAGAGCCACCTGAGGGAGCGAGAGCTGTCGGTGCAGCTGCAGCCCACAGATGCGCTGCTGTGCGTGGCCAACCTGCCCCCAAGCCTCACGCAGGCACAGTTTGAGGAGCTGGTACGGCCCTTTGGCAGCCTGGAGCGATGCTTCCTGGTCTACAGCGAGCACACCGGCCACTCCAAGGGATATGGCTTCGCCGAGTACATGAAGAAGGACTCGGCTGCCCGCGCCAAGTCCGACCTGCTAGGCAAGCCACTGGGGCCACGCACGCTCTATGTGCACTGGACAGATGCGGGCCAGCTCACGCCAGCCCTGCTGCACTCACGCTGCCTCTGTGTGGACCACCTGCCCCCTGGCTTCAGTGACGTGGACGCCTTGCACCGGGCACTGTCGGCTGTGCACACGCCCACCTTCTGCCAGGTGAGCCCAGCAGGCAGGGGCACTGGGAGCAGGTGCCAGACCCTTCTGTGTGCTGTCCTGCCCTGGGCCAGGTGCACAGGCAGGAATGAGACCCTCAGTGAGGCCAGTCATCATTCTGTGACAGCCCAGAGAGGCAGGCAGTGTTCCATTTCCAAGTGGGAACACAGTGGCACAGGGGTCGAGGGACACACCCAGGGGGTACAGTCGGGGTACAGTAGGATCACAGCACTATAGCTGCTGGGTTCAGCTCCGGCTCTGCCCCCTTCAGTGACTCCAGCCTGCTACGTGCAGGACATCTGCAGGAGCCTCTGCCCTGCCCGATGGCCCAGCCTTTCAGCCGCACGGTGACTCTGGACTTGCCTTGAATTTGCTCTGCAGCCTTAGCCTTTGGTGTGGAGGCTGAGGACCAGGGTCATGACCAGCTGCAGGTTCTCTGGCGGTGCCTCAGTTTCCCTATTCTGAAATGAGGCTAGTACTGCTTTTTGTTTTGTTCGGCTTTATTTTTAGGCTTTAAAAAAATTTGCTGGTAAGTTTTTATTTATTTTAAAGGAAATGAAGAATAGTAAAAAAAAAAAAAAAAGTAGAAACCATACAGAATTTCACTAAACAGAATAAAAGGAATTCGATGTCGGTGGTTGTGCGCAGGGCCATGCTAATCATCTCCATATCATCCAATTGTAGCACATGTGCTGCCAAAGCAAGCACTTTTTTTAGGCTTTTTGAGACAGGGTTTTCGTTCTGTAGCCCAGGCTGCCTCGAACTTGAGGCATTCCTCCTGTGTCCACCTCCCAAGTGGTGGGATTAGAGGTATGTGCCACCACGCCTGGCTGCCCGGGTGAGGTCCCCCTTTTGTTTGTTTATTGTGCAGGACCACCTGCACGACTCTTTGAAGGAGGGCGGTGGTCTCCACTTTGGCTCAGCCTGGCCTATTTCCATGTGTGCAGAGCTGGCTCTAATTGTGGTTATCCCTTCAGCTGCTGTAAGTAGTGCATATGGGTCCAGCCGAGGTGCCTCTGGCAGTCTTTGCAGAGGGCAGGCAAGGTTTCCCTGGATCCCCCAATGTTCCCTTGTGCTGTCAGCTGGGATTGAACCTTGAGAAAGAGGCTCTGGCTTCCTGGGGCTTGAAAGATCACACATCAGAACTGAAGCATGGACCGCAGAACATGAGCTGTGATCTGAGTCGTGCAGGTTACCCTTTCTGCAGAAAGGGTTACCCTTCCCTGCGTGTTGCAGAGGTGACCTCGGCCTCCTCCCTAGCCCAGCTCATGGCCCTCCCCTACTTCCTGCCATTCTCACAGTTATTACCCAGCCTCAAGCTGCTGCCCTCTTCGTGAATGAATAAAACCTGGGTCCAGGTCTTTGTTCCTGATAGCCGTCAGTGTGGCTGGACTCAGGACCCCATGGCTCCCTGTAACTACAAGTATGCCTTAGTGTCTTTATTCTTGCCATGGATTGCACTGCAAGTGGTAGATTGGAATTAACTTGCTAGAATTCAAAAAATAGGGGCCAGGGAGATGACTCAGTAGAATAAATGCTTCCCTGGCAAGTGCAAGGGCCTGAGTTCAATCCCTGGTTCTGCAAAAAAAAAAAAAAAAAAAAAAAAGTCAAAAAATATTTTTTGGGGGGCGGTATAGGGACTCAAACTCAGGACCTTATGCTAGCCAGGCAGGTGTATGTGCCACTGAGCTAAATCCCCAGGCCCCCCTGCAATAACTTTTCATTTGTTTGTTTGTTTGTTTATTTATTTTTGTGGAACCGGGGATTGAATTCAGGCCTTGGCACTTGCCAGGCAAGCACTTACTCCACTGAGCCATCTCCCTGACACCCCCAGAAACTTTTCATGGGGTCACAGAAACTTCCTGGGCTGTGGTGAGGACTGAGAAGGGCCCTTTATAATTTGTTTATTTAATATTTTATTTAATATTCTTCTGGTACTGGAGGATCAAACCCAGGGGCTCTGTGCCACTGAGCTATATCCCTAGCCATTTTTAAAATTTATTTTATTAAATTTTGAGACCTGGTCTCCTTAAATTCCGTAGGTGGGAATGGAATGGTATCCTGCCTCAGCTTCGCTAAGTGCTAGGATTACAGGTGTGAACCACCACACCTGGCTCCCTTTGTATTTTTCTGTTTTTGAGGCAGGGTCTCGATGTGTAGTTCAGGATCATCTTGAACTCGCTATATAGTCCTGGCTGGCCTCGAACTCACAGTAATCCTCCTGCTCAGCCTCAAGTGTAGGGATTGCAGGTTTGTGCCACCACACCCAGCTCTTGGCCAGATGTTTACTCAGTCATCTGTTTACATGGAGCTGGGGATGGAACCGGGGCCTCAGTGCATGCTAGACAGGTAATGGCCCCTGAGCCGCACCCCCAGCCCTTTGCTGAGCATCTTATTTGATCCCAGGTCCAGCTGCACAAGGTAGACCCGGGTGCAGCCAGTTTCCAGATGAGGACAGCAGCCGGTCAGAGGTCGTCCAGCTGGGCCCACGCTTTAGTCAGGCAGGCACTACATTGCGCTGATGCTCAGCAAGGGGAGAAAGGAGCCCCAAGGAGATGTGCAGAACCCCCTCCAGTGCCTTCTGCCATTTATTTACAGGCATATTTATATCCTAATTAGCTCGTTACATAGTTGCTTGAAAAAACTCATATGGAGGGCACAAACGGTTTGCTGCAGCAGTGTATAAAGCAGGTGTCAAGCCTGGCATGGTGGTGGAGGCCTGTAATCCCAGCCCTTGGGAGGCTGAGGCAGGAGGATCGTTATGATTCTGATCTGTGTAGTGAGACCCTTGTAGACCCTGTCCTAAATACATTTTAAAAAAAAAAAGCAGGTGTCACAGGCTGGGGTGTGACTCTGGTGGAGCAGCTTAGCATGCAGGAGACCCTGGCTTCCATCCCCAGCATCAAAACTAAAGTAGCTAGCTGCAGTGGTGCACAGCTGTAACCCAGCCATGTGGGAGGCTGAAGCAGGAAGATTGAAGGGTTGTTTTGTTTTTGAGACAGGGTCTCACTATGCAGTTCAGGCTGGTCTTGAGCTCACTTTGTAACAGAGCCTGATCTTGAACTCAAATGATCCTCCTGCCTCTGCCTCCTGAGTGCTGGGATTACAGGTATGCACCACCACATCCAGTTTCCCATTTGAATCCATTATTTTGCCTGGTTTAGGTTAGTTTCTGCATGTTTTAAAAATCATTTATTTATTTGGTAGAGGGTCTCACTACGCAGCTTGGACTCGGACTTGTTGTAACCCTCCTGCTTTCAGCCTCCCCAGCGCTGGGACCAGCACTGGGATTCCAGGCTTGCACCACTGCGTCTGGTCTCAGTGGCGGGTTCTGCCTGCCCCAGGTGCAGCAGGTGGTGCTGGGGATCGATCCCTGGTCCCTGTGCTTGCCTAAGCAGGCACTTAGCCCACTGTGCTATCTCACTGGCCTTTTTTGTACTGGCTATTAATCCCAGAGAACACTGAGTTGTATCCCCGACCCTGTTTAATTTTATTTTCATAAAGGCTTTTCCTCATTTTATCAGTCTGTGTTTAGACCTGCCATCCTTTTTTTTTTCCCATCCTTTTTTTTTTTTTTTTTTTTTTTTTTTTTTTTTCATTTGGTACCAGGGATTGAACTCAGGCCGTTGCGCTTGCCAGGCA